CAGGGACATCCCAAAAAAACCCAGGGACATCCCAAAAAAACCCGGGGACATCCCTAAAAACCCCGGTGACATCCCTAAAAACCCCGGTGACATCCCTAAAAACCCCGGTGACATCCCTAAAAACCCCGGTGACATCCCTAAAAACCCCGGTGACATCCCTAAAAACCCCGGTGACATCCCTAAAAACCCCGGTGACATCCCTAAAAACCCCGGTGACATCCCTAAAAACCCCGGTGACATCCCTAAAAACCCCGGTGACATCCCTAAAAACCCCGGTGACATCCCTAAAAACCCCGGTGACATCCCTAAAAACCCCGGTGACATCCCTAAAAACCCCGGTGACATCCCTAAAAACCCCGGTGACATCCCTAAAAACCCCGGTGACATCCCTAAAAACCCCGGTGACATCCCTAAAAACCCCGGTGACATCCCTAAAAACCCCGGTGACATCCCTAAAAACCCCGGTGACATCCCTAAAAACCCTGGGGACATCCCTAAACACCTCGGGAACATCCCAAAAACCCTGGGATGGACTTGCAGGTCCTGCCTGCCGGGGGTGGAGTTGGGTTTTTAAGCATAAAAAAACCTCGAGAGCAGCAAAATAAAAATCTCATTTCCTGTTTTTCCTGCAGGAATTGGGCTCCCTGGAGCGGAACGAGCGGCGTCAGCAGGAGCCAGGTGAAATCAGCTCCTCCTCGTCCCGATTTCCCCACGGGAATTTGGAGCCGATTTTTGTCATCCCGGCTCTGCTGACTCTGCCAGGGCCAGAAAGATGCTGAGATTATTTTATTTTATTTTATTTTATTTTATTTTATTTTATTTTATTTTATTTTATTTTATTTTATTTTATTTTATTTTCTTTTATTTTATTTTAATTTATTTTATTTTATTTATTTTATTTTATTTTAATTTATTTTATTTTATTTTATTTTATTTTATTTACAGGTGGAAAAGGGCTCAGAGCTGAGGAGAAGCAAAGTCTGGGGCTGGGATTTTTTTCTGTTTTGTTTGGTTTGGTTTGGGGTTTTTTTGTTGTTTTTTTCTTTTTTTGTTTGGCTTTTTGGTGGCTTTTTTGGGGGGTTTTTGGGGTTTGTTTTGTTTTGTTTTGTTGATTGGACTTCAAATTCAGGGGAAGCTCAGCAGAAATTCATCCAGGAGGATTTTAGGGAGAGATAAAAATACCTGGAGGGGTTTAGGGGTTCTCTCCGGGGACAAAACCCACACCCGACCCCAAATCCAGCGGGGCTGCGATGCCGATGTCACCGGCTGAGGTGACACCACCCAGCGTGTCCGGGCTGGTGGCACCTCAGGGCCACCCGAGCCCCAGGGGAAGAGTCCTGCCAGCTCAGGAAAACCTAATCCAAGATGTGACTGCACCTGGAATTCCTCCAGGAACCGGGAATCAGCTTTTTTTTGGTCGGTTTGTGCTGCAAATGTGGAGAAAGGAAAGGAAAAAGAGGGGAAAAAGAGAAAAAAAAGGGGGAAAAAGGGGAAAAAAGGAAAGGAAAGGAAAGGAAAGGAAAGGAAAGGAAAGGAAAGGAAAGGAAAGGAAAGGAAAGGGAAAGGGAAAGGGAAAGGGAAAGGGAAAGGGAAAGGGAAAGGGAAAGGGAAAGGGAAAGGAAAAGGAAAAGGAAAAGGAAAAGGAAAAGGAAAAGGAATGCCACTGTGGGATATCCCGGGATATCCCAGAATCCCAGACTGGTTTTGGGCTGGAGGGACCTTAAAGCCCGTCCAGTGCCACCCCAGGGGCACCTTCTGCCATCCCAGGTGGCTTCAAGGCCCGGGACACTTCCAGGGACGGGGCAGCCGCAGCTTTCCCGGGAATTCCATTCCAGACCCTCACGGGGATGGAATTCCATCCCAAACCCTCACCCCGATGGGCGCCTGCTCCGAGGGAACCTCGGGATGGGATGGAAATGAGGATGGGGAGAGGAGGAGGAGCCACGACGTTCCCGTTCCTCCCCCCAGCTCCCACCTGCTGAGGGTTTTTCACCTTTTGACCCAAAATTTGCCTTCCGGGCCCTCGGCACTGCCCACCCCAGGCAGCAGCTGCGGGTAACACCTGGATTTTCCAGAGCTGTGGACCTTGTTCCCCAGCACCTGGTGGCCAGGTTTTCCAGAGCGGAGTCGTTTTCCTGGTTATTGCTCCTGCCCGGAGAGCCCCGGGAACAGCTGGGAAACAGCCGGATTTACCGGATCACGGATCCTTCCTCCTCCTCCTTCCTCCTCCTCCCTCCTCCCCGGAGCGGGGACAGCTCCGTGGGGGCTGGATCTGGGAACAAAAGGAGGAAAATCATCCGGGATGGGGACAGCCCTGTTTGTTTCCCGAGAGCTGGGAACAGTTTTATCCTGAGAGTTTGTCCTTGAGGCCTTTTTTGTGTTTTCCTCCCCCTTTTAAAGGAACATTTCACCCACGGGAATAACTGGGATTGAGATCCCAGAAATGTCAGAGACCCAAAGGTGAAAGAAAAAAAAAAGGAAAAGTTGAGGAAATGGGGAGGTCCCGGCTCGTCCTGGTGCGAGGGATGGTTACAAATCCCACCTTGGGGAAAAACATCGATTTTCTTTCTCCTCTCTCTGGGTTATTGGTGGGACTCGATGACCTCAGCGGGCTTTTCCAACCTGAACAATTCCTCTTTTCCACGATTTTCTGGACGCTCGGCTCTGGCTGGACTCAGATCCGAGGTGTCTGCAGCAAATCTGGGAATTGTTTCAGGAAGAAGCTGAGTGGGCACGGAAAGACCGGGAGAACAAGACCCATCACGTTCCCCAAATGCTAATGAGGGAATGAAATGAAACTGCCTGCGAGACCAAAACTCTCCAAAATTCCTTCCTCAAGAGCAGCATCCCCTCCACAATTCCATGGACGATCCAGAAATGAATCACAGCCG